TTACTCTAGGCTAGGTTATATAGACAAGAGCTAGGTTTCTACAGCGGACAGTGCTTCTTTTTGCTTAAAGTGTCCAAGAACCTATCTACGTTCCGTGACAGTGTCCAAGAACCTATCTGCGTTCTGTGACAGTATCTATAAGAACCCATCTACGTTCTGTGACGGTATCTATAAGAGCCCGTCTACATTCCATGACAGTATCCAAGAACCTATCTACGTTCCGTGACAGTGTCCAAGAACCTATCTACGTTCCGTGACAGTGTCCAAGAACCTATCTGCGTTCCGTGACGGTATCCAAGAACCCATCTATGTTCCGTGACAGTGTCCAAGAACCTATCTGCGTTCTGTGACGGTATCTATAAGAACCCATCTGCGTTCTGTGACGGTATCTATAAGAGCCCGTCTACATTCTGTGACAGTATCCAAGAACCTGTCTATGTTCCGTGACAGTGTCCAAGAACCTATCTGCGTTCCGTGACGGTATCTATAAGAACCAACACGTAACTATGCCAACAGGTAACTATGAAATTGCCACTTTGCAGATGAGGAATGTGTCTCAGAGCTGGACTGAGCACCAACTTCAGGAAAGCAGAGACTCAGGCGTGCTGAGTGCTATGTCCCCAGGAGCCACACGGAAGCATCAAGAGAACCCAATAAATAGTTTTGTTTGGTTGTTGTTGTCTGAGAGATGGTCTTGTTCTGCCATCCAGGCTGGGGTGCAGTGGTGAGATCACAGGTCACTGCATGCTCAAACTCCTGGTTTCAAGCCATCTTCCTGCCTCAGCCTCCTGAGAAGCTGGGAATACAGGCATGTGCCATCACACCCAGCTAATAAAAATATATATTTTTTTTATAGAGATGGGGGTCTCACTATGTTTCCCAGGCTGCTTTCAAATTCCTGACCTCAAGCGATCCTCCTGACTCCACCACCCAAAGCGTGGGGATTACAGGCGTGAGTTTATTTGACTAATGGGTCTCTTAACTCGGAATTCCAAGGCTGTAATTTCAAAGCTATAGTAATTACACAGTGAAACAGATAATGTTACCTCGTATGTGGCTGATGTTTTGTTGTTGTTTTCTACAAATTCCTTGACCTTGGGACACACCCCATCCACTGAACTTGGCATCACAACCAACCCAAATTACTGCTGTTTGGTATTTAAAGTAAAATAACAAAATGATACTATCAGCAAAATGAGATGGTGAAAACGATGAAAGGATCCCATTGTGAAATAGACACTTATCTTTTCAAGGGGCAGGGCAGTTTCTTTCATCTCTAATTCTCGGGACATCCGATAAGGCTTGCTGCTGAGCAGTGATTCTCAGACTTGTTGGTACTGGGACTCCTACACATTTGTCAATTATCGAAGACTCCAAAAACCTTGTGTTTGTGCTGATTATATTTATTAACATTTACTCTCTTTAAAAGTGAGAATATTTTAAAGTGTCTATTAATGCACTTTAAATAGGAATAACAATGCCATTTCATATGAACATAAATAGCATATATATATATATATATACATATATATATATATATACATATATATATATATATATGTATATTTTTTTTTTTTTTTTTGAGATGGAGTTTCGTTCTTGTTACCCATGCTGGAGTGCAATGGCACAATCTCGGCTCACTGCAACCTCCGCCTCCCGGGTTCAGGCAATTCTCCTGCCTCAGCCTCCTGAGTAGCTGGGATTACAGGCACGCGCCACCATGCCCAGCTAATTTTTTTTTATTTGTAATAGAGACGGGGTTTCACCATGTTGACCAGGATGGTCTCGATCTGTTGACCTCGTGATCCACCCTCCTCGGCCTCCCAAAGTGCTGGGATTACAGGCTTGAGCCACTGCGCCTGGCCATAAATAGCATATTTTATGAAAACTAAATAAACTAAAACTATTTTCTAAAATTGAAAAGTGAGAAAAATGGCATTTTTAACATTTTTGCGAACCCCATCTATGTCTGAGTTAATGGAAGGAGCTGGATTCTCAAGTCTGCTGGATACATTAAATCTGCGACAACACCACACTTCCTGTCACCTTGGAAAACCACACAGCACAATTGTGAGAAAAATGAATAGAAAAGGTAAATAATATCTCAGTATTACTATGAAAATAGTTCTGACTCTATGGACCCCCATAATGGTTCAGTGACCCCAGGGATTCCCTAGGCCCCACCTTGAAAATCACTGGGGAATAAAAGGCATTCTGGCCAGGCACAGTGGCTCACGCCTGTAATCCCAGCACTTTGGGAGGCCCAGGTGGGTGGATCATGAGCTCAGGAGATGGAGACCATCCTGGCCAACATGGTTAAACCCCGTCTCTACTAAAAATATAAAAATTAGCTGGGTGTGTGGCACATGCCTATAATCCGAGCTATTCAGGAGGCTGAGGCAGGATAATAGCTTGAACCAGGGAGTCAGAGGTTGCAGTGAGCCAAGATTGTGCCACTGCACTCCTGCCTGGCGACAGAGCAAGACTCTGTCTCCCAAAAAAAAAAGGCATTCCCAGTGGGCATCAAATGAAGAAATTAGAAAAGGTAAAATCGCTGCCCAGAGGAACTCACGGTACAGCAAAGGAGACAGACAAGCAGCCCAAACAACGTGGTAAACATCCTCAATAAGAGATGCATCAGGGAACAAGAGACTTAGAATATGCCAAACCCCTCCTACATGCCAGCCACACCCATGATGATTCCTCTACCTGGGATGCTCTCTCCCCACTCTATCCCTGGCTAAATCTACTCATCCTTCAAGTCTCAACTGGTCCCAGACTAAAGACCTCCTTCCTCCACCCTCTCTCACTGCTCCCCATCCTCCTCCTCATGGCAATCACTGTGTGCAATTAGGCATTGGTCTCCCAGTCCCCTGCACACAGCATGGGACTTAGCAAAGGTGCAATAAATACCTATGTAGATATTGAAAGAATGAATGGATAGATGGAAGGAGGGAGACATGAAGGCATCAAATAATTACAATAGGAAGGGTGAACCCATGCCTTCAGGAACTGTGCTCTGGAACTAGGCCTTACACCATTGCTCAGAAGAGCAAGCAGAGACCCTGAGGGCTGTGACTTGACCCAGGCCCAAGAAGGAGTGGCCATGGCAGGGGCACACATGGCCCAAGCTCTTTCCTATACAGTGTGCAGAAAGGCTGTCCAAGACAGGCCCAGAGTGCTGGAGGAAGGCTGGCCATGTGGACAGCTGAGATGGGCTGCGATGGGCCAGAGCCCAGGGGAGGCGCTCAAGACACCAAGGGCGCCTGAACACAGGTGCTCATTCCCAGGTTCCTGCAAAGGCAGAGGTGGCCCTTGAGGGTGAGGTGCTCTAGGTACACAATGGTCCTAGATGGCTTCAGGCCCTTCCCAGTAGGCACTGCTCTCCCTTTAGTCAGGGACCACCCTCAGCACCACTGCTGGTGACAGAGATCAGCGCACACCAGGATCTTCTGACACTGGCTTCCCAGAAGCAAGAGCCTGTGCTAAGCAGGTGAGGCCAGGCATGCGGGCTCTGAATTGGGGGCCAGGGAATGCAGCTCCCTGAGTCCTGGTTTTGTCACCTGCAAAATGGGCCAGATACTCCCACCTCACAGGGCAGATGTAAGTGAAAAGACCCATGGAACATGCTCTGTCATTGGGCTTTTAAAAGCTCAGGACACTGACATGACATTTCTCCAGTGAAAACCTAAAGACAAAACGGGAGCCGGGTCTCTTTTATTTTTTTTGAGACAGAGTTTCACTCCTGTTGCCCAGGCTGGAGTGCCGTGGCACGATCTCGGCTCACTGCAACCTCTGTCTCCCAGGTTCAAGCGATTCTCCTGTCTCAGCCTCCTGAGTGGCTGGAATTACAGATATGCTCCACCATGCCTGGCTAATTTTTGTATTTTTAATAGAAACAGGGTTTCTCCATGTTGGTCAGGCTGGTGTCGCACTACCGACTGCAGGTGATCCGTCCGTCTCGGCCTCCCACTGATGGGATTATTGTCGTGAGCCACCACACCCCGCCAGGAGCAAGGTCTCTTTTAAGAGACTAAACCTCTACAAGTGTCACAAGTGTCGTGGGGTACAGAACATGACAGGACAGGGCCCACCGCCCTGGGGGAGAGCTGGGAGGACCCCAGGGCAGCATCAATGGGCCAGTCCACCAGCCAGGGCAGTCCTGGGTATAGAAGCCTGGGTCTGCTGCCAGAAGCGATAAGGCTGGGGAGGGGAGAGTGCCACCAGGGGAGGAGAGTGGCAGGGTGTCTCCCAGGACAGACCACCCCAGAGGTCTGGGGAAAATGGATGGGAGATGAGGGAAAACCACTACCAAGGGCTGGAGGTGAAATGGTGGGGCCTGAAGCCAGGAGGTGGCAGTGCGCAGGGAGGAGGGGCAGACATTCGAGCTGAGAAAAAGGCACTAAGACTGATGACCAGCTTTGTAGGGGGAGGTCAAGTCTAGGTCGACAGCCAGGAATCTATGCCTTTCCAGTTAGGACCAGAGAGGGAGGACCAGGTGAAGCTGGAAGTGGCTAAATCCATCAGCCAGGAGAGTGCAGTCAGCTAACAGTCCAGCCCAGAGTTCCCACTTTCAACAGCCACTGCTGCAATCTCCCAGTGCTGGCCTCTGCAAGGCGCTCCGCATGCTGTGAACTCATCTAACCCACTTCCACCCTCCAGGGTGGACGCCAAGATGGCCCCGTTTCACAGATCAGGAAACTGGGGCGCAGGAGTGACCTGCCCTAGGCCAAAGCTCCTCAATTGCCGAGCAGGATTCGAACCCGGGTCACCAGTGAAGTCCAAGCCCGCAGCTGCCACACCTGAGGAAGGTCTCCAGTTTCCCTCGAAGCTTTCTGGACAAGAGCGGGATACACCTATGGGCCGCGAGACACCCTATTCAAATCCTGCCCTCGCTTCCACATTTTTTATGCAATACTAAGGGGCCTCCCGCCGCCGCCGGTGTAGACGGAGCCAATCCAAGGGAGTCGGACCGGAGTTTGGGGGCGGGTCCTTCTTACCTGCGTGCTGCTCTCGGGCCCCGCCCCGCTCCCTAGGCCGGGCCCAGACCCGGGAGCCACCGGGGGATCCCGGGGTGGCTGCGCGCCGAGGGGGCACCAGCGGGGACCTGAGCTGGCGCCGAGACAGCCTCGGCCCCCTGGCGCCAGGGCCACCGCCAGGAGGCCCCCGGCCAGCACCCACGTGGCGCGCTCCCAGAAGCCCGCCGGGCCCATCGCCTGCCGGGAGCCACAGCCTCCAAGCGGCGGGCGCCGCGGAGTCGCCGGAGCTTCCGGACCCCGGGCCCGCCCCGCCGCCGAGCATGCTCAATGCGAGCCGCCGCCGAAAGTTTTCTGGAACAAACTCCCCGCATCTGGGTCTCCGCGAGCGGGAGGTGCCGGACGGGCGTGGGAGGGGGAGAGCGAGCTGGCGCTGCCCGGGCTCCCGGCGGCCACGCCTGGGTTTGCTCACGCCCAACCCAAATCAGAGCGGCTCACTCCCCTGCTCCCCAAGGTTACCGGGGCCTCCGGGGCCCCTCCGCTACCGCCTACCCGGGTCTGTAAGCCTCACTCAGCTCAGACGCACTTCCCCTGGAAACCCTTTCCTGACACTGGAGTCTGAATCCGGAGTTTCCCCATCCCCGCTTAGAAAACGGAGAAGCATTTGGAGCGCGGGGCCAGGAGTCCCGGAGCACCAGAGGGTTCAGGACGGCTCGGAGGGGCGGGAGAGAAGGAAAGCACCCTCACTTCCAGCTGCGTTCACTGCGCGAGCCCGCTGTGGATCAGCCCTGGGCCTGTCCGGGTGACCCTCGCATTCCCAGTGGGAGACAGTCAAGCCAGCCGCCACTAGGACACTTCTCTTGGGACCTAGAAAGAGGGGAGCTGGTGTCTGAAGACGCAGCCCTGAGCAAGCTCTCCCTGAACTCTCTGTGGGCACAGAGATTTGCTTTGCCAAGGGAGGCAGGAGGAGAAAGACCCTGGAAGGAGGACTGGTGGAGCCTTTTGTCTGCTCCTTATCAGGGCTTAGGTCCTAGGTGACAGCTGACACCTGTTGACGGGAGAAGGCTCCGCTCCTGCCAGCCTTCCTGCTGGGCAGCCGGTTAGGCTGTCTAAAGTCTCAGGCCAGAGAGCCTGGCCCCTGGCAGCCTCTCTCCCCATAACCCAGACCATCCAAGGACAGGCCTTTCCTGACCTAGCATGGACAAGGCCATGGGATTTGAGAACCTGAGAATTTGTAAGCCAAGTTCCCCACACCAGGGGGTATGTGGCAGCTGTCAGCATGAGACAAGACCACAGGCTAAATGCCAGGCAAGTTGCTGGACCATCACTGTTACTTAACAGTCAGTAATTTAAAGGTTAATTGAATAGTCAAATAACTTTATGATAAAGTAAAATGCAAATAACCCTCCATTTAAAAAATTCTTCTTATTATTTTTTATACAGTCAAGACCTCACTATATTGCCAAGACTGGTCTTAAACTCCTGGGCTCAGACAATCCTCCCACTTCAGCCTCCTAAAATGCTGGGATTACAGGCGTGAGCCACCACACCCAGCCCAAACACCACATTTTAAAAACTGAAGCCTAAGCCTTCATGGAAATACCCAGTATAAAGCAAGAGTGTCAAGTTATTGCATCCCCAGGAACCTTGGAGATGCTTCTAAGGAAATATATCAGAAGCTCCACATAGCAGAGAGTTTGCCCTCAAGCCAGAGGGACACGGGTGTAAATGGGACAGGAATTCTGTCCCACTCCGTAACTGCCAGAGGTTAAATGAGTCACCTCTCCTCTCTGTCAGTTTCTTCATTTATAAAAGGGATGAAGAATTTGGATCCCAGTTCCCATGTTGCCATGAGGAAATAACGAAACAAACTAGAAACAAGCTGGACATTCAGGCAGAAAGGACAAGGCTCTTCTCTGCTGAAACAGATCCTCATGGTGTCCCCGAGCCCAGCCCACACAAGGAATTAAGCTCCACAGGGTAGGAGTGTGTGTGTGTGTGTGTGTGTGCTCGTGCAAGTGTGCATTCGTGTACATGCATGTGTGCTTCACCCAGGCACCCTGGACAAAAGCAAACATCTAATAGCTACTCCATAAATGTTTGCTTAAAGTGAACGCAGGATGATTAACTCATCTAATTTTTTTTTTTTTTGAGACAGAGTTTCACTCTTGTTACCCAGGCTGGAGTGCAATGGCGCAATCTCGGCTCACCGCAACCTCCGCCTCCTGGGTTCAGGCAATTCTCCTGCCTCAGTCTCCTGAGTAGCTGGGATTACAGGCACGTGCCACCATGCCCAGCTAATTTTTTGTATTTTTAGTAGAGATGGGGTTTCACCTCATTGACCAGGATGGTCTCGATCTCTTGACCTCGTGATCCACCCGCCTCGGCCTCCCAAAGTGCTGGGATTACAGGTATGAGCCACCGCGCCCGGCCCTAATTGTTTATCCCTCTAAACAACTGTGAGATGTTCAATGCCCCTGATACCGTTTGGTTTGTGACTGGCCTATCCCCCCACCCTGCAACACTCAGCAGATTCTCCCCAAGTGCTGACTAAATGATGATGGTGCAGTGTCCTGGTCCTAGCAGAGACTGAGTGTAAGCGTTTTTCCATCCATCACCCCAGGGAGACTGGGTATAAAGGTCTCTACTCATTGTCTTGACCTTCCCTGGGAGAAAATAAGATTTAAAGGGGAGTCTTCGCGTGAGCAAGCTCAGAGGCGCGGAGGGCGGTGTGGTCCCGGGAAGGTTGATGGGTAGAGGTTAGGGACAAGGGCAGTGGGGTGGATGTGCATTGGTCCCAGCGTCATCAGGAGGACGGAACACCCACCGCAGAGGGTTTTGGAGAAAGTTAACGGCATCGTGAAGCTAAATGCGTGGCATATTCTAAACTTCAATAAAGTTAAAGAAGCGACGCCTTCCTCGGTGGTCGGGGTCCCTCTTTCACCCCAGGAGCCCAGGAGTGCCTTGGAAAGCCGGCTCCCTCCGGAAGGGTCCCGGGCTGGGAGGGGAGCCCCTCGCTGGGCATGCTCAGTGCAAGGGCAGGGCTGGGGCGGGGGTGGCTGAAAGTTTTGGGCGGCGATCCAGGCTCCTCCCTCGGGCTCCGCGAAGCTGGGAAGGGGAAAGGAGCTGGAGCCGTGAGACCGCACAGGCCGGAAAGTGCGGAGCTCGCCGCGCCCCTGACCCGCCCGGCCTCCGGGTCCCGCGTTGCCGCCCTGGCGGGGACCGTGCACCAGGCGGCGGGATGCGGCGGGGCGGCCGCCTGAGCCCCAGCGATGGCCCGCGGCGGGGCGGCCTGCAAGAGCGACGCGCGGCTGCTGCTGGGCCGGGACGCGCTGCAGCCGGAGCCCGCGCTGCTGGCCCCCGCGGTGCTGCTGGGCGCCGCGCTCGGCCTCGGCCTCGGCCTCTGGCTCGGCTGCCGCGCGGGCCGCCAGCGCCCGCGGCACCAGGTGGGTCCGCCAAGTGGGCCGCGGAGGGGCGGGGCGGAGCGGGGTGCGCGGGGCGCGGGGCTTCTCGGTCCTGCGGGCTGGAGCCCAGGCTCTGCGACCCCTTGAGCCTGGTTGGGGACTTTGCACCCAAAGGGGTCCGCTTCTGCCCCTGGAAGGAAGCGGCGGGTGACTAGAGAGCGTTGGCCTGGGGTCCCCCGCGTGCCTGTTTCATCCCGCTCGGTGTGTGATCCTAGACAGCAGCCCAGCAGTGCCACGCCTCAGTCTCCTCATCTGCAGCACCAAGGGCTTGGACAGTATGCTGGCCTAGCTCACCGTGGTGGACCGAGGAGGCTGGGGATCCCACACCTGAATGCCTATTCCTGCTTCTGTCTCTTCCTTGCGGTGTGGGTTACCTCGGCTGGCCTGAGTCCCAGCTGCCACATTGGGATGCATTCATTCATGAGTTCATTTATTCATGCTACAGTAAAAGTTTTCGGGCACCTTCTACACACCCACTCACTGGCCTAGGGACCACATTCATGAGCAGAAGAGACCCTGCCTTGTCTGTTTGAGGTTTACATCCTCAAGGAGGACCAGTTGCAAGTTTGCAAGTAAACTTTCGGTTATGACACCGCATGGGGAAGTCTGTGATGGAGCACTGGCAATGCTAGCGTTTGTTCAGTGCTGACTATATACCAGGCACTGAGCTAGACCCTCTGCCTAAATGAGCTCAATGAATCTCCACAGCAGTTTGAGTTGATTTCATGAATGTCACTGCTTTGCAGATGAGGAAACTGAGGCACAGAGTGGTTAAGTAACTTACTAAAGTGACGGACATATCTAACCCCAAAGCCACTGTATTTTGCATGGATGAGGGTCTGGGTGGCTGCTTGAATGGGACCAGTGGATGCTTCATATGCGCAAGCTGTTGTGGAATTGACTGTGCATGCCGACACCCAGCACGTGGCAGGCATTCCATCAACAGCGGTGTGGCCACTATTTTAGGTTCTTGCAGTTTCTGCCTCTTTGAAGCGGGGGGTTGGGGGGTGGGGGGGTGGGAGACGTGGGGGGGGGAGGGTAAAGTCTGTGAGTTCAGAAACAAGATAGCATAGTCTTGCTGCCCCTATTTCTGGCCCCTGGGAAGAGGAAGCAGATCCTGTGCCGGTTCCATGTAGGCACGGGTTCTTTCAGAATGCGGTGACTCATGGTGAGCATTGCCCTATAGAGGGCTGAAACTAAGGTAATGCAAGATGCTTGTAGGTGAATTGAGGGCTGTCAGATCCTGCTGGCGATTAAGTGATGCTAAGAGATGCTGGCTTGTTGGATGGAGCGGGGAAAGTGAAGTAACACACAGACTGCTGGGGGCCCTCTGCAGTGTTTGCAGACATCTGGTTCTTTATACTCCAGCCCATGAGGTGGAGGAACTGCCATTATCCCCACTTTACTGTGAGGCAGTGCAGGCTCTGCAAGGTTATTTGTCCAGGGTGCCACGATGAGTAAACAGTGGGCTGAATTTCAACCCTAGTCAGTTTGAACCCCAAGGCCAGAGCCTTAAGCATCTGTTATCTGGTGAGGTGGTGGTTAGTATCTCATTTGCTAGCTGAGTCAGCTGAGGCTTACTGGGATTAACCAAGCCATCTGGGTGTGCACAGCTAGTCAGTTGAGGGTGATGGTGGCTCAGAGCAGGGTGGCAGCCGTGGAGGGGTTGTGGCTCAAAGTAGGACTAACAGGATTTTCTTATGGTTTGATGTCATCCTTACAACAACCTTCTTTCTGATGGGACTCCTTTCCTCCTGTCTCCTCCCGCTAGCT